CTCCAGGCGCCTGCACGTGTCTCATGCCTTCCACTCTCCTCTGATGGCCGGCGCCGTCGCGGAAATGGAAGCCATTGCCTCCAAGGTAAACTTGCAGCCTGCGTCTATCACAATTGCTTCAACGGTGCGTGGACGCGTTCTGGATCCGTCGGAAACACAAGATCCGCACTATTGGGGAGAACAGCTTACACTGCCTGTGAGATTTAGAGAGGCTGTGGAGGCGGCCGTAGCAGCAGTCAATTCCGATCGAATCGTATTTTTGGAGGTCGGGCCACAGCGTACGCTGGTTAACCTAACTGGCCAAATTATTAGTAAAGAAGAGGGTTTCCAGGTGGAGCTTCTGAACATGGTTGAACGGGGCGAAGCTGCAGATGAGGAGACGCTGATGGAGAGGCTGTATCAATTTGAGCATACGTGCAGTTTTCCCGACGCGCGTAGTGGGAAGCACACTTGGAACCACCAGTAAGACAGCTGCACCGCTGGCACTGACGGGGGAACGCGCCAGTCACATGCATTTCAACCAAAGTTGTCGTTCTTGTGCTTTGCTGGGGCAAGCATTTATAAGCTGTGTCTCCTGTTTTCGATGCTTTTTGTTGATAGGTCCTTCGAATGGAGAAAGGTTGCTCATCCACTCATTGACAGTGACACTGCCGCCGGCGCTATCGGATCCGGCAACGAAGTCACTCACTGCGAGGCAAGCATTCGTAGTGGTGTCCTTGATGTGCTAAAGGACCACGTTGTATGGGGGACACCTATCCTTCCAGGAGTTGCTTTTATTGACGCGATGCTGGGCGCCGCCTTGGCACACTCTGGCTCCCAACTTGGCGAGGATGGCATTGAGTTGCACGACGTGGCAATCATGCATCCAATGGTTCTGAATGAAGGCCCAGAAAAGTGGGGAACAGACGTCGCACACTGCCCAACCCGTCACAGCGACGTGCGACTGACACTAGGACTAGAGAGTGCTGGTGAACGCACTTATGTTGCTCTGTCCTCGAGCCACACTGGCAGTGTCTCAACGGATGCTAATCTCTCCCCTGCAGTGGTACATGCGGAAGGCTGGATTTCATTGATGGTTGATGCAAACGCTGCGAAGCCACCAGCAGTGGACATCAAAGAAAACGCCAAACGTATCTCCGAAAACATGAGCCGGCGCTACACTTCAGTTGAAGCCTATCAAGAACTCCGAGGGCGCGGACTAGAATATGGCCCCCGCTTCCAAACAATCGAGGAAATAAGTATCGCCGGAGACTCCGCAATTGTTGAGCTCCGGTTCCGGCATGAAGTAGCTGACTTTGAACGCAGCTTTATCCTACACCCATCAATCCTTGACGGATGCGTACAGGCTGCTGCTCTGGTTGTGCTTCATCACATGCCTAGCTGCGCAACAGCTCTGGTGCCTGTTGCGGCATCAGATATCAGGGTGTGGGGCAGTACAGGCGTATCCGGCAGCTCTTTCTGGGCAGGCATACATATAGTTGGAGGCAGCACCCGCCCAATTTCAGAATCTGAGGGAGCCGTCGTTTCCATTACGTTGTTGGATGGCTGCGCTAATTTAGTTGCACAGATTGGCACCATGCGCCTGCAGCCAGTAGTGGAAGACCAGGTTCTGCCGAAGGAACGGGACCTTGCTCGTGGCCTATTGTGGAAAGTGAAGTGGGTTGAGGGCAAAACTGGGCATATGCTTCGAAAGCCTGCCAAGCAGGGGCGAGCGTTGCAATGGCTGGCCTATGGAGTAGAAACAGAGACTGCTTGTTCGATGTTTCAAAGGGTGGACATATCTGAGAACAGGGGCGAGCGTTGCAATGGCTGGTCTATGGAGTAGAAACAGAGACTGCTTGTTCGATGTTTCAAAGGGTGGACATATCTGAGAACACCAGTGTTGAATTGCACTGTTGCTCCAACTCCTTGCACAGTGATGCGGACGGCGTTAAACTGGATGAGTGGGATGCAGTTCTACACTTTGGCGGCGCATGCCAGTGCTGGGACGGAGCAGTGGACTACACAGCAGACGTCTTGGCGCTTCTCCAGGGCATTGCAAATCATCTGGGTGCCGCTGGAACCGAGCCGATACCCCCAATAGTCATTGTAGTTGCAGGCGCTTTTGCTGTAAGGCCTGGGGAACAGGCGGCTCACCCACTTCTAGCAGGAGTTCGCGGTCTCTGCCGGACGGCCCGGCTTGAAATGGAAGCCACTGCGAATCGGCCTGTGCCTCTTTTACTGATAGATCTTGAATCAACAGGTCAGCAGGCAGCCCACTTCACGACGGAGATGATTCACCAGGTCGCATCAATTTTGCATGCTTATCATTCCACAGAACCCCGCCAAGGGTTCACAGCAGGTGGGCGGCAATACGTCATGACTGAAGTTGCTGTTCGCGGAGGCCGCATGTTTACTCCACAACTTACGTTCAGTGATATTCGCCTTCTGCCGGCCGCGCGGGCAGGGGACAGAGTTGGGCAAGGCGAAACATGTATAATAACAGGCGGGCTCGGTGGTTTGGGTCTCGTTGTAGCCCTTTGGCTTGCAGGCAACGGTGCGAAGACGGTTATTTTGCTCTCTAGAACAGGAACACCCCCGAGGGAGGGAACAACTGCAGAGCTTTGGCAGCAACTCACCGAGAAGTGCAGGCGCACAGAAGTTATCGTTCAGCAGTGCGATGTTGCCCGTGTTTCTGATATCGAAGAGCTGTTTGCTCGCATTGAAAGCGGATATCTGGTTTGCCACGTTACTGGTAAGCTGCATTTCGTGAAACCTTTGACTGGCATCTTCCACAGTGCAGGGGTGCTCGTGGACAAGCCACTGCTACAGCAAGACCGACGCTCCGTGGAGCTGGTGTTCAACCCAAAGGTAGAAGGAGCTTGGAACTTGCACAAGTGCCTTGGAGCGCGTGGAATGGAAGAACAGCTAAAGTACTTCGTCATGTTTTCTTCATCTGTCGGACTACTGGGAAACGCTGGTCAGGCGAATTATGCCGCTGCTAACTGTTGCATCGACGAATTGGCGCTTTATAGACGCTCACGTGGACTTACTGCCCACAGCATTCAGTGGGGTCCATGGGTAGAGCAAGGTATGGCAGCTCAACTGCAGGGCCGCTTCGCAAAGGCAGGCTTTGGAGGCATATCGAATGCTTTGGGTTTGCTTACCCTCAATGCTACGTTGCAACAAAATACGGAGACAGTTGTCGGGTGCCAGCCCGTGTACTGGGGTCGCTTTTTCCCGCGTTACAGGTTTGCCACTCCAAAAGTCTTTGAAGAGATCGGAATGCTAGAGACGACCGCTTCTAAGACACTGGCTGCCACGTCAAGCTATCGTAGTGGACCTCGCGTAGAGGCCACGCAGCAAGCAAACGCAGGGAAACAAAAGGATAAGCGTAAGCACATTCAACAGGTTGTCATGCAGGCTGCAAAGTCCGTCCTGAACGTAGCATCGGGGGTAACGCTAGAGGCACCCCTACAAGAGCTTGGTATTGACTCCTTAGGCGCGATCGAATTCCGTGATGCAATTCAAGCCGCACTAAATGTCAGGCTGAGCGCAACGGTCTTGTTCGACCATCCAACCGTTGACGCGCTGACCAAGTTTCTTTTGCAGGAAATTAGCGAAGAAGAAACTACAGAGACC